TTGCCGCCTTTTGAGGAAAAACCCCTGGCCAGGGTGCAGGCCTCACCTCGAGTGAAAATGCATTCACCTGCCCCGAGGTTGCCATCTCCTCGGGGAAGTCGTCTGTTTGTCCATGACGAGGGCAAGGCACCGTCCACTGACTCCCCACCGTGGGTTTGTGCTCCACCGAGGGCACCTGGATCGGACATAGTGCATATGTCTGATCCAGCAGGACAGGCGCAGCTGGATACCTCCAGGATGGAGGAGACCAGTAGATTATCAAAAGATGAGGGCTCTCTAACGAATACTAAAAAGGATATTGAGACGAATTTTTATGAAATATTGAATGAAAAACATGATATAACAGAAACAGTACAGAAAAATGGAGATGGAATAAAGTTTGTTGAAAATAGAATAGAGTGGAGTGATAATGAGGATATAGAAAATGGGAGAAAAATTGAAAGTTGTGTGTTTAAGAATTTGAGAGAAAGCTTTGAAGGAGAGACGGTTCAAAATGAGAAAAGATTTGGTGATTGGAAAAATGAAGAAAAGTTAAATGTGCATGATGGAAAAATTGAACGTTCCATGTCAGGTTTACATAGAGATGGAGTGAATATATTTCAGATGTCTAAACCGACTTCATATTCTGTGTCAGTTCAGGGTTCTTTTCACCAAGGTGATCCGATATTTGGGGAAAATGCTGGAACACAATGCGTTCCAAATTGTTTGGCAGCTTTAGCCTATGATATCTTGAAGAGTTCCATATTTTGGCAAACGTCTGACATGAATAAAGTTCTAGTCACTGGAGATGAATTGTATACTTTTCTGCAGCAAAGTTCCTCGGTCACAAGCAGGTACCTTTTAGTGAATGAACTACCACAGTATTTTGAATGCTATAGCAAGACGTTTGAGTTCAGTGTCAAACTTGCTGTGTCAAGCTTTATAAGCTTATCAGATGAGGAACCCTGTTATGAGGACTTCAATGCTTTTCCCCTCACTGAGGCTCTTCACAAGGTGCTAGAAGGAACACATGGATGTTTTGTATGTTTTGGAGGAAACACTCTCTTAGTCGGGAGAACTGATGAAGGATTTTATACATTTGATTCACATTCACGGTGTTGTCGTGGATATATGAATGTAAATGGAAAGAGTACAAGAATTCTATTAAGGACAGTACACGATGTTTATTTGCATCTGGTCTCTTTAGCTCTATCCATGGGATTTACAAGGACTGTTGAATGTGAATTAACTGGGGCATTGTGTTTACTAAAGCAGTTTGGTTTTGCTCCAGTAAAGGAAGATGAGGATGTGTTTTTGTATTCTGACACAGGAATTGGTTCAGCACCAGGGAATAACTTCTCAGGGGATATGTCCTTTCATCCAGACACAGACATAAGTTCAGCAGTAGGAAATGTTTCTTCAGAAAACGAAGAGAATATTTTAGAAAGTGAGATAATATTTCTGAGCAAGGAAAGCAAAAGGCAAGATTTTTTCCCTTTGAGTGTCAAAAAACAAGAGGAATTATGCAGACGTTTGGATCTGCCGTATTCTCATTCAGGTAGGGAATGTTATGCAGAGTCTGTGATCGATATGGGTGCACCTACTCAATTTAGAGATATTGTGAGAGATGGCAATTGCTTTTTTAGGGCCATATCATTTTGTCTGACAAATTCTGAAGATCATCACCAGGCAGTTAGATCTGCTGTATGTCAACACTTGGTTCAGAATGAAAGTTGGTTTGAAAAGTTTTTGAGGTGTAATGCAGAATCAGTAAGGACCTATCTACTTTCAAGTAAAATGTCTGAGGTAGGCGTATGGGCTACAGAATTGGAGATATTAGCAGTGTCAGACATGTTGAATGTCGATATATTTACTTTCTCAGACATGAAATGGCTTCAGTTCAAAGGACAAAAGCAAAATTTAGGACCAAACAAACATAATGAAGCCATGTATATATATCATAACCAACAGAACCATTACGATGTTGTGTTAAATGTTTCAGCAAGGATATCTGACAATCAGTGTCAGTCTCAAAATACCAGTAAGTCATATGTGAGAGAGTATAATCTGCGCATAGCAAATCGAATGAGAACGCGAAAGAAACGAGGCAACATAAACTTCAAAATGAACTCAAAAGCAAATGAAAATCGCAAGAATGCATTGAGGAAGAAGTACCATGAAAACAAAGTGTTCAGAAAAGAAATGTTACGGAACAAAAAGAAACTCTATACATATGCAGATTTCAGGTCGAAAACACTTTCAAGAAGTAGAAGAAGGTATCATGAAGATGAGGAGTACAAGTCTAAATTGAGACAAAAAAGTATTCGCAAATATGCCACAAACTTAAGTCATAAGCAAGATGTAAAGAAACGGAGTGTATTGAAATATGAGATGGATGCTAAGCATAGAGAACATGTTAAGAAACAGAGTATTGAAAAGTACAATTCAGATATGGAACATAGAGCTGCTGTGAAAAGTGCAAGTGCTGAAAAGTACAAGATGGACCTGAGACACAAAAAGGATGTTAAAAGGAGAAGTACCGAGAAGTACAGAACAGATTTTGAACATAGAGGAAATGTTAAACGGAGAGCATTGCAAAAGTATAAAACTGATGAAAAGTATCGAGAAAGGAACAAAGCTGCTAATGTTCAAAGGTATAAAAAAAAAATGTGAAGTTTAAAGAAAAGCAGAGAGAGAATTCTGCAAGAAGGTACTAAACTGATAGTAATGTTCAATCTGCAATGAAGAGGCAAAGTAAAGTTCAATATCAGTCATCGTTGCAATTAAAACAAAAGAAAAAAGAGAGAGTGAAAAGGCAAAGGAATGTGAAAAAGATGAATTTACAACAAGAAGAAGTTGTTGCAACGTTCAAAGAAAATGCAGGGAAAGGTCCTGGGTATGCTTGTTGTTGCTGCCATAGACTTTTATTTAGAAATCAAGTTCAAGCCTGTGAACACCAGATGTATGAAAAAAATGAACAATCTCGAATTATTTCAAATATTTGTTTACAAGCTAAGTATTTGCATGAATGCTCTGAATCTTGCCGAGAAACATGTCCAAAATCATCGTTATGGATTTGTTTTACCTGTCATAGAAAAATTATGAGTGGAAAAACACCTTCTGAGGCTGCAGCAAACAACTTGTCATTGGAAGACATTCCACCGGAGTTGAACAATTTAAACAGCTTAGAACAGCACCTTATTGCACTTCACATACCTTTTATGAAGGTTATGGCTCTTCCTCATGGGGGACAAAGGAATATACACGGACCCATTGTTTGTGTGCCCTCAGATGTAACAAAAGCTACCAGTTTACCTCTACAGCAAGATAAAAACTTATTGTTGCGCGTTAAATTAAAGAGGAAGTTGAATTTCAAAGGTTACTTTGAATATCAATTTGTGAATTCAGAAAATGTTATGACTGCCTTAGCATATTTGAAAAAAATTAACCAGTGGTATGAAGATGTGACGATTGAAACAAATTTCGAGGAGAATGAAAATCACGAAGAAAACGATGAAGAAAAGACAGAGAACACAAATAACAGAGAAGATAATGATGAGCAAATGATAGCATTCGATACATGTTTACAGCCTGTTGATGTTGCACAGGAAGTTTTGGATCATTATTTTGATGATGTGTATAACATTGCACCTGGTGAAGGAAAAAATCCAATTCGAATGTTACAAGAACCAGGAAATGAGGCTAAAACATTTCCATGCCATTTTCCAAGTGGGAGATTTTCCTGGAATGAGGAAAGATCAGAAAAAATAACACTTTCTAGGTATTTCAACAATAGATTGATGAATGCCGACAACAGATTTGCAAAGGATACCTGTTACATTTTCTTCAGTCAGTATATGTCAGAATTAAACCAGGTGATAGAGAAGACTCAAATTTCCCTCAGAAAGTCATTATCTAAGATTCCTAGTGGTAAATCAGTGACATCAAATATGCTGCAAGATCCATCTGCTCTTTCTTGTTTGCTCAGAAATGATGATGCAATAAGGTTTATGCAGTCTATTAGGGGAACACCAGCATACTGGTCTGCTGCTCAGAAAGATCTGTTTGCTATGCTTAGGCAGTTAGGAATACCAACTTGGTTTTGCTCCTTTTCTGCCGCTGAATACAGATGGAATGACGCTGTAAGGGTTATATTGCATCATTCTAATGATGATAGGAATCCTGAAGAAATGGACTGGTCAGAAAAGAATGAAGTTTTAAGGTGCAATCCAGTTACAGTAGCAAGGATGTTTGAACATAGGTTTCACACATTTCATAGAGAGGTAATACTTTCTTCAGCGGAACCGATTGGAAAAGTGGTGGACTATTTTCAAAGAGTTGAGTTTCAACAGAGGGGTTCCCCACATATGCATTGCTTGTACTGGATCGACAACGCACCTAATATCGATTCTGATGGGGAAAGAGCTGTATGTAATTTTATAGACAGATACGTAACATGTGCTGTACCTTCAGAAATCGATGATTCTGATCTGAGAAAAACAGTTTCGGAAGTTCAGCAACACAGCAAGAAACTTTCAAAAACTTGCAAAAAGAAGGGTACAGAATGTAGGTTCAATTTTCCCAGGCCTCCAGTGATTGGGAAGGGCTTGCGCCACGCGCCATAGTCGCAATGAAGTGAAAAATGGCGCATTAAATCAATTAATCATGGCGCCAAGGTGCGCATTCCATTTTTAGCGATGTTATTTGGAAATATTTTGTGTACGACTTTCTTTCTTGTTTTACTTTCGTTTTAAATACAGTCAATTTTAAAACAACAAATCCCATTGGTTGAAATCTGTCAAAAAGTACTTCCGGTTAAACGAAGCACTTACATGAGGAAAATGTAGGGCTGTTCCCTTTCCAAAACTGTCGTAATTTTAACACAAAATACGGGTCTGGTATATTCTAAGCAAGTTCCTTTGAATTTGCTGCATTTCATGCGTTAAAAATCGGATTTGGTTAATTAAAAACGTGTTTTCTCTCGTATTTCATATTTGTTTGTCACTTTGTTATTTCTTAAAATGGACCTTCAGATTATATTTATGGCCCATTTATTTGCGAAATGGCCCATCAAAAATGTTGACAGTTGCGCCATAGTCCCATTGACCATTTTGGCCTTCCCAATCACTGGGCCTCCATCTCAAAGGACCTTTATTTCGACCCCTCAGGATAATGAAAATGTAGGGCATTGTGAAACAGAAGATGAACATAGTAAGATAAATAAGGCTTATGCAGAAGAGATACTGCTTAGTGTATGGGGCAAAGTACAAATAGATGGTGAAAAAAACTCCACAACCGAAGAAATATTTGAAGACCTTTCACTAACTCAGGAACTGTATGAAGAAGCCCAAAACATTTTATCAACAAGGAGGACAGTCTTTCTAGAGCGCAATCCAAATGAGATGTGGACAAACCAATATAACCGATGTCTCCTAAAATGCTGGGATGCTAACATGGATATACAATTTGTTCTAGATCCGTTCAGCTGCATTGTATATATTGTTTCATATATTTCTAAGGCAGAAAGGGAAATGGGAATGCTACTGAAACAAACAAAGTTAGAGGCAGAGGAGGGGAATTTTGATGCTCGACAAACAATGAAAAAAATAGGCTCTGCTTATCTAAATCACAGAGAAGTTAGTGCCCAGGAAGCGGTATATAGAGTGTGCAACTTAAAGATGAAAGAGTGTTCACGAAAAGTTGCTTTTGTTCCTGTAGGTGACAATCCTGTACGGTTATCTAAGCCATTGTCTCAGCTGAAAAATAAAACTAAAAAAGACGTTGAAATAATTGATGATGACGATGATGACGAAGATGACATTTGGATGACAAATATTCTAGAGCGTTATGAAAATCGTCCAGATAAGTCAGAGTTTCATGCCATGTGCCTTGCAGAGTTTTGCTCTGAATTCAGGGTTCTTGCTAAATCTCAGGTACCAAAAAATATGAACAACAATGTTTTTGAACTACAGAACGAGAAAGGTTATGTTCAGCGTAGAACAAGAACGAAAGCTGCGGTAATACGGTATCCAAGATTTAATGCAGAAAAAACACCCGAAAAGTATTATCAGTCTCTTCTGCAACTTTTTCTTCCATATTGGACAGAAATGCAGCTAAAACCACCAGGGTTTGATTTGTTTAAGGATTTCTACGAAACAGGTCATGTGAAAATAGTAGGAAAAAAATCCTTACAATCAGTGAAGTCGATTGTGGACACTAATCATTCTTGTTTTGCAAAAAATGAAGATATCATTGACAGAGCCCAAGAGGCCTACGAAATGAATGGTGATCCAGAGGATGCATGGTCACGTTTATGTCCAGAAACTGAGGTGTTAAGAGGAGAAGGATTAGCAAAGAGAAAAGAAAACCCAGTACCACAGGAGGAAGATGTTGACCGTATACCTGAAATGGAAACGGACACACATAATGCAGATGTGCTATATCAAGTTCAACAAAGTGTTTCCTCCACGGATGAGGCTATTTCTGTACTCCGAAATCTGAATGAAATGCAACGTAAAATATTTTACTTTGTGCGTGACTGGTGTTCAGCAAAAGTTCAAGGAGAAAATTGTGAACCTTTCCATTTGTTTGTTACGGGTGGTGCAGGAACGGGAAAAAGCCATCTGATTAAGGCAATTCATTATGAATCGTCCCGGTTGCTTTCTAAATTGAAGTCTGAACCAGAAAGGGTGCCAGTACTTCTTTCAGCATTCACAGGAACTGCTGCTTTCAACATTGGGGGTAATACACTTCATCACTTATTTGCATTAACAAAATTTCTCCCCATACCGTATGAACCACTAAGAGAACAGAGTCTTAGTGAAATGAGAGCAAAGATTGGGGACCTTCAAATTCTGGTGATTGATGAAATATCAATGGTTTACAAAAGGTTGCTGTATTACATACATGAAAGGTTGGTACAGATCAAGAAATGTAAAAAACCATTTGGAGGTGTTAGTGTTATAGCAGTTGGGGATTTTTACCAGCTCCCTCCAGTAAAACAGCGGAAAGACGAGAGACTTTACAAGGAAAATATGGTTTATCCTCAAGACTACTGGCTTGACCTCTTCCAAATCGCTGAACTGAAAGAAATAATGAGACAAAAGGAAGATCTGTCATTCGCAAAGATTTTGAATTCTCTTCGTGTAAGACTGTTAGATGAGCCATTGACTCAAGATCAGAATGATATGTTAGATGACTGTGTCAGAGATGGACCAGAGGATGCTCTACATGTGTTTTCTACCAACGAAGAAGTTAACACCTATAATTTGTCAATGTTGAGGAAATCCTGTGATAACCTATTGGAAATTGATGCCAAAGATTATCAGAAGGACAAAACGTCTGGAAGACTTACACTGAAAACAAACCCTATCACAAAATCAAAAAGTGATGGCCTTCCAAGCTCCTTAGTTTTGTCCGTCAATGCAAGAGTCATGCTTACAAGGAACTGTAACGTAGAAGATGGACTTGTAAATGGAGTGATGGGATACATATCTCAGTTTGTTTTTCAAAAAGATAGTGCTACAGAAATAAAGGCTGTTGAGGTTATATTTGATAACCAAGAAGTTGGAAAGAAAACAGGCAAAAATACAAGAGGTGGAAACATGGTTCTGATAGAAAGAGTTGAGGAGGAACTAAAGGAAAGGACGAAAACAATCATTAGACATCAGTTTCCATTAAGACTTTCTTGGGCGTGTACTGCTCACAAGGTACAGGGGATGACAACAGACAGAGTAGTGGTGAACTTAGATAAAGTGTTTGGTGCTGGTCAGGCATACGTTGCTTTATCAAGGGTAACATCAAAAGAGGGTTTATTTATTGAAACAGAAGACCCAAACCTGTTAAGGAAAAAGATTTATGCCGATTCAGAAATAAAAACAGCAACAGTTGAAATGCCAAAAGTTTGTTTTCGTGAAATATTTGAAACTGATGCTTCGGATGGGAAGAAAATAGTTTTACACAACATTCAAAGCTTAAGAAAACATTTTCAAGACCTGAAAAATGACAAACGATTCACGGAAGCAGATATTATTTGTTTGACAGAAACATGGTTAAGGCATGAAGAGAATACAATACAATTTGATATTGAAGGTTTTCAGTTCAATCACCTTCCTCGGGGAGAGGCATATGACGAGAAAAATGTCATGAACCAGAGGTTACACCTGTCAAAAGGAGGAGGAGTGGGGTTGTATCTAAAAGATGAGATGGATTGTTATCATATTATAGCACTATCTGGGATGAATATTGAAGCAATGGCTGTACAATTATTGAATGAAAATATCATTCTTGTGACAGTGTATCGCCCATCTTTGCTAAATGTGGATGTCTTCCTGAAAAATTTACAAAGACTCTTGGATTTCATATGGACAATTTCTCCAGAGTGTATTGTGATAGGAGACTTCAATGAGGATGCTAAACTGAATGGCCCAATTCAAAGATTCATGAAGGATAAACAGTTCAGACAGCTTGTATCTTTTAACACAACTGAAGGGGGAACCATTTTAGACCATGTATATGTATCCAGTGCATTACACATTGAAGTCTTTCACATGCCAACATACCACAGCTACCATGAGGCTGTGCTCTTGATATTTTCAGATGGGTAGGATGAAACTATTTTGTTTCAAACAGCATGTTAACAGCAAAAAATGAGTGGTATGGTTTGGAATTAAACAGAATTCTTCACTGACTCTCATTTCTGTATTTGACATCTATATCAATCCAAAGAGTGAAAAGTCCTGAGAGAGGACTATTTCTTTTTTTTTTTCATATTATGAAAGGAAATCCCATATCGCTTGTTGTAAATACTAGAGAAGGTTGTTTCTTAATTGTTGTAATATATACTAGTATGGTAGTATTCTTTTTATTATTCGTTTAATTTTTTTTAACTCCTGTATTCTTGTACATTTATGTACAGTTGTTCCTAAAAGTAAAAAATGGCCTTTTATTCAATAACAACTCACCATATAATTTTAAGGTATCACTCTCCATTAGTATATTACATGTGTTAATTTAACTGTATTTAAAGTAACAATTACCACTTAAAGTAGAATAATATACCATTGATCAGAACCATCAGAAAGAAGAAGATACGGTTTTGCCTTTATTGTACCCTAAACATTCAAAGATTTATATAAATGGCTTAAATATGTATTGAGGATTTGAATATGAAGAATTATGAAAGAATTCAGCATGTTTAAAACCGTTTTGGAAATTCAATTTCAACAATTTGACACAATATTTAGTTTTAAACAGAAAAAAAAACTTCAAAATGACTTGTTCCTTGGATCCTAGGATTCTTTAAGAAATTAATATCCACAGGCCTCGTCCACTTCAATTTTCAATTTGTTGTCAGAGATCATTAAAAAAAAAACATTTTTCAAAAATCTTTGTGGGCTATGCATGTGCTGTGCATTATCTCAGTAGAAATTGCACCTCAAAGTACTATTTTTACAAGGAAATACGGGGAAATTTACATAATTCTATCAATATTAGCATTTTGGTGGTCTTCCAAGTAGCCAATTTCGTCTGTAGAGATGAGAAGTACAACTGTATGTTCTTACTGCATGGACTTTTAACGATTCTGAAATCATGTGTTTTATTATTTCATGATTCACATTCATATAGATCCAGATTTGTATTATATCATTTGTTTTTTAAGTAATGAAAATTTTCCGCAATATTGTTCAAAAGCAAGAACTCAATACCCAAGATATTTAAAACGGCTCAAAATTACAAAGTTCAGAAACCTCTAATTTTTAAAGGTCTTACAGATGTATATACCAGTTTTATGTTTTGTGCAATGTTTGAAGTTGTACAGGAACTTAATTCAAAATGTATATAAAATGTATATAAAAAATATCCTGCTCAAAATCCTACTTCCACCTCCCCGTGGTGAGCAGGGGGCAACAGACAATGTCTGGCTAATGGAAGAGGTATCATTAAAAGGTCTTGTTTTATCAAAAGAGTAGGCTCACTGGGGGCCACCAGACAAACCCAAAAACTTCAACAACGACCATACTTACTTTTTTAATCGCCGAAATATGGCTGAACTATTGCCGACGCGGCGTCAAACAGTAATAATCAATCACTGTGAAGTTGGCTGATATTAATTTAAGTGCGTTTAACATCACCTAAAAACTCATGAGGGAGAAAGACCAACTATTTAAAGATTCTTTTTCGTGTCACAAATATTAAAAAAAGAAATATTTAGGGACCAACCCTTCAACACCTGAATGGGGACGTTTAGGAAAAATTGTGGCCAACCATTCAACTCCTTAATGGGGACGTTTAGCGAAAAATGAAAGGTTGCATATTGTTCAGAGCATGATTTTGAACATCTTTTGTTCAATATTACTTATCAAAATATTCCAGACTTTTGAGATATAAAACATCAGAGATTTAGCATTTTGGCCCCTTATGGCCCCTTATCATGTAACATACGACATTAAAATCATAATATACAGCTGTAGATTGTTGAGATAAACATTTTTCCTTCAGTAATGCATACCAAATTATTGACTGCTAAAGAGTTATCGATTGAAGACTTTAGGCCCCTCTTGGCCCTTAATTTGAGTACCCAGTCCCTTTTTCTGGATTTTACCTTAAACCTCTCAGGAATTTGAACACTTTTTGTGCAACAACTATTCAGAAATTCTGTTTCGTTTTCGAGTTATTTGCAGAAGAAATATTAAGGGACCAGCCCTTCAACTCCTTATTGGGGACGTTTAGTGAAAAATGAAAGGTTGCATATTGTTCAGAACATTATTTTGAACATCTTTTGTTCAATATTACTTATCAAAATATTTCCCACTTTTGAGATATAAAACCTCAAAGATTTAGCATTCTGGCCCCTTTTGGCCCCTAATTATATACCATACGACATAAAAATCATAATATATAGTTGAAGATTGTTGAGATAAACATCTTTGCTTCAGTAATGCATTACAAATTATTAACTGATAACGAGTTATTGATTGAAGAATTTTGGCCCCTCTCGGCCCCTACTTTGAGTGCCCAGCCCCTTTTTCTGGATTTCATCTTAAAGCTCTTAGGATTTTGAACACTTTTTGTTCAACAACTATTCAGAGATTCTTTTTCGTTTTTGAGTTATTTGCAAAAGACATGTTTAGGGGCCAGCCCTTCAACTCCTTATTAGGGACGTTTAGCGAAAAATGCAAGGTTGCATATTGTTCAGAACATTATTTTGAACATCTTTTGTTCAATATTACTTATCAAAATATTTCCCACTTTTGAGATATTAAGCTTTCAAGATTTAGCGTTTTGGCCCCTTGTGGTCCCTAATTATGTATCATACGACATGAATATCATAATATATAGTTGTATATTGTTGAGATAAACATCTTTGCTTCAGTAATGTATTACAAATTATTAACTGATAACGAGTTATTGATTGAAGAATTTTGGCCCCTCTCGGCCCCTAATTTGAGTGCCCAGCCCCTTTTTCTTGATCTCACCTTAAAGCTCTTAGGATTTTGAACACTTTTTTTTCAATAACTATTCAGAGATTCTTTTTCGTTTTTGAGTTATTTGCAAAAGACATGTTTAGGGGCCAGCCCTTCAACTCCTTATTAGGGACGTTTAGCGAAAAATGCAAGGTTGCATATTGTTCAGAACATTATTTTGAACATCTTTTGTTCAATATTACTTATCAAAATATTTCCCACTTTTGAGATATAAAACGTCAAAGATTTAGTATTCTGGCCCCTTTTGGCCCCTAATTATGTACCATACGACATAAAAATCATAATATATAGTTGTAGATTGTTGAGATAAACATCTTTGCTTCAGTAATGTATTACAAATTATTAACTGATAAAGAGTTATTGATTGAAGACTTTTGGCCCCTCTCGGCCCCTAATTTGAGTGCCCAGTCCCTTTTTCTTGATTTTATCTTGAAGCTCTTACGATTTTAAACACTATTTGTTCAACAACTTTTCAGAGATTCTTTTTCGTTTTTGAGTTATTTGCAAAAGACATGTTTAGGGGCCAGCCCTTCAACTCCTTATTAGGGACGTTTAGCGAAAAATTCAAGGTTGCATATTGTTCAGAACATTATTTTGAACATCTTTTGTTCAATATTACTTATCAAAATATTTCCCACTTTTGAGATATAAAGCATCAAAGATTTAGCATTCTGGCCCCTTTTGGCCCCTAATTATGTATCATACGACATAAATATCATTATATATAGTTGTAAGATTGTTGAGATAAACATCTTTGCTTCTGTAATGTATTACAAATTATTAACTGATAAAGAGTTATTGATTGAAGACTTTTGGCCCCTCTCGGCCCCTAATTTGAGTGCCCAGCCCCTTTTTCTTGATTTTATCTTAAAGCTCTTAGGATTTTGAACACTTTTTTTTCAACAACTTTTCAGAGATTCTTTTTCGTTTTTGAGCTATTTGCAAAAGACATGTTTAGGGGCCAGCCCTTCAACTCCTTATTAGGGACGTTTAGCGAAAAATTCAAGGTTGCATATTGTTCAGAACATTATTTTGAACATCTTTTGTTCAATATTACTTATCAAAATATTTCCCACTTTTGAGATATTAAGCTTACAACATTTAGCGTTTTGGCCCCTTGTGGTCCCTAATTATGTATCATACGACATGAATATCATAATATATAGTTGTAGATTGTTGAGATAAACATCTTTGCTTCAGTAATGTATTACAAATTATTAACTGATAACGAGTTATTGATTGAAGAATTTTGGCCCCTCTCGGCCCCTACTTTGAGTGCCCAGCCCCTTTTTCTTGATTTTATCTTAAAGTTCTTAGGATTTTGAACACTTTTTGTTCAACAACTTTTCAGAGATTCTTTTTCGTTTTTGAGCTATTTGCAAAAGACATGTTTAGGGGCCAGCCCTTCAACTCCTTATTAGGGACGTTTAGCGAAAAATGAAAGATTGCATATTGTTCAGAACATGATTTTGAACATCTTTTGTTCAATATTACTTATCAAAATATTTCTCCCTTTTGAGATACTAAGCTTTCAAGATTTAGCGTTCTGGCCCCTTGTGGTCCCTAATTATGTATCATACGACATGAATATCATAATATATAGTTGTAGATTGATGATGATAAACATTTTTGCTTCAGTAATGTATAACAAAATATTGACTGCTAAAGAGTTATCGAATAAAGCTTTTTGGCCCCTCTCAACCCCTAATGTGATGAGTCAGCACTTTTTTATAAATATCATACTATAGATCTTGTCATTCTGCACAAATATTGTTCAATATGTTTTAACAAAATAATTATACTTTAAAGGATATGGTGCAAAATGTCTCAAAAAATCAGTCATGATTCGTGTCCTAAATTTTGACCCCTACCGAGCTTCCATACCAGGCACTTCCGGAAATTTTGAAAATATAGGTACAAATCTTCAATTAGTCGTCTATTACTCCTGAAAATTTCAGCCTTCTAGCGTTTAGTGTTTTTGAGTTTTTGTCCGGACAAAAATGTCATATAAAAATCGATTAAAGGGCGATAACTTGTGACCGGAAGTGAATTTCCAAAAATTAAGAAAAATGAATAAGGTTCACATTATTATAGATCATCTCTGAAATTTTTAAGGAAAT